CCCAATGCGGGGCTCGATCCCAGGACCCTGGGATCATGACCCGAGCCGAAGGCAGACGCTTAACGACTGAGCCACCCAGGTGCCCCTACTGAGCGCATTTTAGGTCTGAGATTCGAAGGAGAACCTGACTTAGAGCCTGACTCTTACAGACATAATTCTAGCTTGGGGAGATGACCATGCACCTCTGATAGGACCGAGGCAGACAGAACACACAAGCGTGGCCACTCGAGTATGAGAGGCCCAGGAAGGGGCACAGAGTGTCACAGCCAGTAGGGACAGCAGAGGACGCCTGCTCCTGGCTGAGGAGGCTGAGCAGAGCGGAGGGTTCGCCTAACTAAGGTCACTCAGCTAGTCGGTGGCACTGGGGTGCCTCGGACCCAGGCCTCCAGGCTTCCTGAACCCCATCTGCAACTCTTTCCCAGAGCTGGCACTCCGTGGCGATGGTACTAAGAGAGACGACAGTAACAATTTTTCTATGCCTCCCATGTGCTGGTCACATGAAATGGTACAGCAGGGCGACCTGCCAGAAACCTGGTCTGCATTGTTGTAAGGACTAGAGCGCTCCCTTCCTCGGATGGACTGATGGAAGCACCTTCTACTTCACTATTCCCCTATGGGAGAGCGAGGCCCACGGATGCCCAGTCACTGCCCCAAGTTCCCCCTCGTAGGGAGTGCTGGAAGTCAAGTTTAGGTTTAGGTGGCCCGGCTTCCAAATCTGTGCCCTTCGCCACATTCCCTGGATGATCTCCTTCGGAGGACAATGCAGTGAGGTACCGCGGATGCTCCCCCAACTCCCAGCAGAGGAGAAATGGACCACCTGGGCTTTTGGGGTCAGCCTCCCGAGAGGGGTGTTCACATACTCAAACGGTATCTTTGGAGAATAGAGCAAATGCTCAGTATTTCAAAGGTTCTTCAGAACTGGAAGGAAGCTTCGATTTTGCAGGTTCTGCAGGGATGTATGGCTGAATCTACCCTGACACAGCACCTTTGGGGAGGAGAGGGGCTGTGTGTGCAGCTGAAGGACGGGGCCCTGGGACCAAGCAGGTGCCGGCATGCAGGGGGAACGGGGGGAGGGTAAAGCCGCGGGCCTCAGGGAGCTCACAGCTTGCAGAGACATGGACACAGACAGCTGGGTCTCCACAGTTAAAGCGATGGCAAACGTGTGATGATAAATGAAAACTCTAATCTTCTTTCGTGCCAGGAATCAGTAGGGAGTGGTGAGGACAGTGGCCTGGGTGGCACATGCCCTTTCTAAAAGGGACAGCTGCTACTCAGTGGTAGTCAAGTGGGACTAGGGACTGAGTGTCCTCATTTTTTTTTTTTTGAGAGAGAAACTATAAATCTAGATTTTTATGTGAAAAGATTTTTTTAAATTTTATTTTATTACATTATGTTAATCACTATACATTACATCATTAGTTTCTGGTGTAGTGTTCTATGATTTGTTGTTTGCGTATAACACCCCAGTGCTCTATTCAATACATGCCTTCCTTAATACCCATCACCAGGCTAACTCCTCCCCCCACCCCCTTCCCCTCTAGAACCTTCAGTTTGTTTTTCAGAGTCCATAGTCTCTCATGGTTCATCTC